ATATATAACTGTGTGTATGTGTATTTCATATTTACAGTCAAGCGTAAGCTTGGCAGAGCGCGCATTCTTAGATATAAAGATTATTTCTTTCTTATAAGTGCACAGCTGAGGGAGATAGAAAGAGAAAGAAAGCAGTTATTTATTATTTCGCGATTTCCGCCTTTTTTTCTTAGTTTCTTTCTCCCTCTCTCTCTTACTTGGTGTACAAATATAAATTAATATTTCAAAAGACCATCCTGACGTGTAGAGTTTGACAACGGCCGCTCGGATATAATGTAGCCGACGAAGGTTCGACTTGTCCTTTCAAAAATATCGTTATTATTTATGTACGAGAGCCGGAGAAAGTAAATTTATAGTTCAAGTTTCCAATACAATGGAATCGCAAATAATACGTAGCAGTCGCGCACACGCCGAGCCCGGTAGAATAGAAATAACAAAGACAACGGATCGTTCTAAATTGTCAAAACCGGACAAAGCGCGCATAGAAAATCCGCGTGAAAAAGATACTCGACGACGCGCGGTTGCATTGGTGGTGCTGCTCCGTCACTTGTGTGCCGCGCTTTATTTTTTTATCCTTCCCTCCCTCCCCGAAAATACGACTGCACGAAAATATCCCGTACGTAGTAGCTCCATGCATCGGCGCGCGTATATATATATAGGTAAAGCGGATTTCGCGCAAATCGTCGGAGATATCTGAGTCGGGGATTCTCTGCAGCAGCAGCGCACCGCAAGGGACGCGATTTCCGTCCGGGAGCCAAGTAAAAATTTCGCCCCGAATATGGTCCCACGGAGATGTTCTTCCTTCGCTAGGAATATTATTGAATTTTCCAGCTCTTGTTGCCGCAGCCGCGAAACGAGAAAATAAATCCAATAGATTCTCTCTCTCTCTCTCTCTATCTCTCTTCTCGCGCCGCTGTTTTCGGCTTTACAGGCTGCAAATTTTCAAGTACACGCGCTCGAATCGATCGATCGTAAAAAGCGTAATCCTGCTTGCAGAGCCTAGGCGATTTAACTAGCGGCCGGGCACACATAAAAATCCACCCGCCAGACAAGCATCTCCCGGCGTATATATAAATCCTCGCAATAACCATCAATCACACAATACGAGTACTAACGGCAATCCGTCAGATGCGTCGGAATATATATCCGATTTCTTGACCAGGGCCTCCTCTGCTGGCCCTCGCCTGAGCGGCGGCCTCTCCGCATCCAACGGCCGGATCGCGGCGACGTTTCCTCGATGCTCTCTTATCGGAATGATTGATTCTAATTGGCGCTGTATTCATTCGGCGGATAAGCTGCTGCACTTGGATCGATTCGCTGCAGCGAGCTGCAGGGGGTGGCCTTGTCTGTCCCTCTGCATCAACACACATATACACAGGCGTCAGCAGCCATAGAGCGAGAGAGCAGCCTCGCGCTCAACCGAGAACCTTGATCAAATTCGAGTGATTTCTGCAGAGCGCACGTATGAAGGCTTTTAGCCCCTTGCCTCTCCCCCGCGCCTAGTAATGCTCTTTGATGGATTAAAGCTCGTGCGCGAGATTGCTCTCGACCGGGCGTTACTCCGTGAGATTTGAAAGAGGCAAAAAACGAAGAAGAAGAAGGAGGAGAAGAAGCAGGCAAAAAAACGCGTATACAAGAGCCGAGCCCGAAGGAGCTGCTTTTTATGCATGCATTCGTACAATGACGGATATATAGCCGCACGAGAGCTGAAAATATACACAGAGAAAGAGAGCATCGCGCGGACAATCAACAAAGAGCGGCAGTGTGCAGCTGGTCCTGTAAGGCCGGGGGACGCGGGCTCGACTCGCTGTGTCGCCGCTCGCTGCACACGCGTAATCCTCCGTTAATTGGAATAGTTACTATAGAGCAGAAGCAGCAAGTCGTCGTCGTCCTCGTCGTCCTAGTCGACGACTATAGCCCGAGCTCTTGATAACAAAGTGCGAATGTGTACATGTGTACAACAATGTACAAATTTATACACAGAGCCTTGGCAGTTGCGCCTTGTCTCGGCCCCATTGTCGCTGCATACACTTAGCCGAGCTACATGTTACCTAGACTGTGCTGTGCGCGCACGTGTGCACTGCACCTCGAGCTAACCAAATATTCCGCACGTAAAATGGCAAAGCGCTCCTTGTTTATCGCCACTGCGCGCCCGCCAGCAGCTTTCGACTCGCAAAAAAGACACCGACTTTATGTGTGCAGCCTCTGGCGCGAGCGCATCGAAATGTGAAAGTAATTAATTTTACCAGGCTTCGACCTCCCTCCTTTCCTACTCTGCCTCCACCACATTGACGAGCAATCGTTATTTAATCCGAAAACATGCGGAGAATGTGCGTGTCCGAAGAAAGTCTCGTGCTTTGTTCAGCTTTTATCGCGCGATATTTTCACGAGGTTTTTAATAAATTAACCCGCTGCGTGAATTCACTATCGTCTTTAACATTTTTCCTTTGGTAGCGAGGACAATTCATGCTTTTCCGAGAGATTTTGACGTTCGAGTCCCCTTCAAGAGAGTCACTTACTTCATTAAGCGAGATGAGATAAGCGAACAACGCTCAGTTACCACGCACACCAGAGACCCCCAAGAGCTGCAACTGCAACGACTAAATGAAATTCTCCCGACTACTAGTGGACGCAATTTTATTCAGAATCCACTGGAATATCATCAAGATAACAAAACCAAATGGGAAATATTGATGAAAAGACATTCAAATACTTTACAAAACCGAAAACGTGTTTTACATTTCGTCTCGGGACACGCTGCGTGTACTCGTTACAGATTACTTGCAGAGGTTTTTTTTTGTTGAAAATCCACTGCGACATTTCGAAATCCATCAACTTGAGTGTTGCATTCAAGTAAAAATAAAATCGTAACGTTGAAATTTATACTTGATCTTATCATTTCGGCTAAAAAATATTAATTGTATTCTGAACTCGTTTGAAATTTAAATTATTTTATTGAAGATCAATTTTTGGTAAGCTTATTATTAAAAAAAAACGCTTCATTCGACCTATACAAGATCAGAACGAAACAATGATTGTTCATTAATTGAAACAGCAGTTTTCAATATTCCTGAAATTGAAAACTAATCATATGGAATAAAAAATTGATTTAATTTGTTTCGTCCGGTACTAAAAAAATGATAGCAGTTCGAACTCGAAAGCCCAAGCTTTCATTATACAGTATCAGGCGGTCATGTTTCATATAGTTTTTTCAATAATTGAAAAAGTTAGCGAGCACAACACAAACTATTCGGTCAACTTATGGAGTAGAGAAAAAGAGCAACGAAAGAGAGAGAGAGAAAAAGAGAGAGAAAATCAAGCTTAGCGTCTCGTGGTTAAACGACTGAGTGTGAAAAAACTCACGGATTTTTCGTGGAGAAAAGAGCAAACATACGTATACTTGACGCAGAAGCAAATACACTCTCAACTTTCAAATCATTTCTCCTTCGTCGCAGAGGAGCATTCGAAGATTAGGCTGGAGCGCCCAACACGAGAAGAGGCGATTATGATGCGTGCGTATTATACAAAGTGCATCATTCTCAGCCGGTTCCCTAATCGTCGGAGCGCGATGAAACTTTCCTATCTTAAGACGCGAGAGAAGAAGCGAGGGAAAATACTCGCTCGTACAAGAGGGAAAACTAGGTGCAAAACGGCAGAAATATCTCCGCTCTTGGATATGATGGCGAATTGTTTTCTGCCACATTTTTTCAGGCAACGAGCAGGCAACTCTGCCGTTGTTGTTTTTTTATGAGCCTCGAAGGTGAATAAATAACAACAGCCTCTGCCACGTTGCGTTGGCATTAATATCATATTGAGTTTTAAAAGCGGTATTAGCTTTTAGCCTATCATTTGACGAATTTCATCGCACTGAAATTATGCTGAAAATATTCAACCTTACGGGTGGTCTATAATTGTATTTTAAATCAATAAAATAATATAAAAACCAAAATGATATATATCATTTGTTCAAGTCCAAAATCTTGTCGCTGTATTCATGTTTTTTCTCTCAGGCGTCAGCCCGAGCTCTTCATCTCTCTCGGTCGATTACATTTTTCAAGATTCCGGCAAATATGTCGTTCACAGATTTTTCGGATCGATTTCGAATTTTTTTGAAACGTCATTTTTCATTAATGTGATCGAATCTTTAAATAAATTTTCACTTCTCTCGCAGTGTCAAGAAGTCAAAATTATTTTTAGCTTATCGCGTCCAAGTTTCGGTTGACTTATTACTATAAATGAATTTTCGATATCACACAGTATTGATTTATAACTCCTGCTAGGAATATTTCTTTTTGCTCCGTGACCATTCACTTTTTTTTAAATCTCTCGGTGTACTTTAATCATTCCATATCTCTGCTCGATCTTTTTCCCCACTCTATAGATATATGATATGTAGAGCCGTGTAGTTCCCAACCTTACGTTTTTCTTTAGCAAACACTCTCTGAAGCACATAGTTTCGTTCTATGTTATTTCAAAGATTTTGGATATGTAATCATACAAATGTCTTATGTAACTACTTGAAGAAACTTCATCTTTGCGTTTTGATCTTAAAAAAATTTTAATTAATAATCAAAGATTTTCCATTTTTCGATTTGAGTTAAGGATTTTCAGCTAATTTTAAGACATTTTTGTTTATCGAACTGATTTTGCTTAGCATTTTTAATATCCAACTCATGATTATAGTTCAAGTGTAAGATGGTATTCTTCTGTTCGTCACATTCTATCAAATACAAGTCAATCCTCGCAACTATCTCCGTTTTTAATCTCCTCTGCGTCAACGCGGATGAAAGAGAGAGAGAGAGAGAGAGAGAGAGAGAGAGAGAGAGAGAGAGAGAGAGAGGAAGAGAAAGAGAGGGGAAGCAGAGAATGCGCGCGCGAATCGTTCCGCTCTCTCTCCCTTCTCCTCTTGTGTATATGCATGCGCGCGTCACCGCTGCAGCTTTTGCAGAGTTCGCGGGAAGGGCCGGTCATTCAGTGCGTTTTGCGCAGTGTTACAGTTAGGTGGGTTCTATTCATAATTTCATCGCCACGTGAGCAAATAGAGTTATGCTAAAACCTCGCTACCAAAAAGCTATGAGAATAAACACGTGTTATTTGGTGTAAGCAGTTTTTCGCCGAATAGTGTAGATTTTATTTTGTCATCGTTTATTTTGTTTTTAACTCAGTGATATTGTGAGTGGATTCGAATGGCCGAAAATTGAATTAAAAGCTGTGAGTTAGTGCGTAATCATATAATTTATACTCGGTGGACAAGTAGAGCGAAGAAACTTTGCAGCCTTACACGTACGCAAAGTCCCGTGTGCGTAGGATAGCGCAGAAAACCCAGTGGAAACATACGAGTTTGGTCAGACACGCAAGTGTATATAGGGAATAGCATGTATATAGCCAGGACATGGGTAACAAAGTTTCTTCCCCTCTTCATTGGCACTTGATGAGACTCGAGGGAGTTGCAACTACCGTTGCTTGATCGTCTTCCGATCGAAGGTTAATACTCTTTCTTAAGTGTCTCGCTTATGCATGTTCCTTCCTTCCCGCTCGCTCTTTTTTTTACCACTTTATGCCGCATCACTATGCGCCTATTTTTTCATGCACGTTGAATCGCTAAACTGAACGAAAGAAAAGCTTGAGTTGCTTTTATTTTTAAGCGAGAAAGAGATAAAATTTATCGCTCGCACACGCTGGGATTGCATTGTGAAATGATTTATGAGCTTTTATTTTTTGGTTAGATATAATAGTATATGTACACGAACTCTACCGCAACGACGATCGATCAATCAAAGGTGTTGAATGGACAAAGCCTGCGTCTTTTTCTCTCTCTCTCTCTCTCTCTCTCTCTCTCTCTCTGCCTCTCTTTTATTTTTGCAATGCTGAACTCGTGACTTTTTTTCTATTTCGTTTGGTGATCCAACTTTTGATGTTCTAATTGATAAAAAGCTCGAGGTACGTTCATTTTTCAATTCGTAGCCATGACGACTAATTGAGACTAAGCTTGCAAGTGCGATAATGCAATTGTCGTCGCGGACACGGACGTTTCTTGGCAATAAAAAAAAGTGTTTCCGCGCTCTTAAAGCTGAAAAAAGTGTCGTGCTCGCGAGGACGTTATAGTTTTGATGTATTTTAGTGTCTCTCGCGTGGAATCTTTGAGAAATAAAGTCGTTGCCGTAATCGTATTCGAAATAAAAAAAGTGACGCGTTTGATGATGTTGCGCACTTTTTACGTACTACCCCGAGATTAAATCCTTACGAGGGAATGCTAAGATATCTTATTTATGCATGATGAATGCATGACGTTATACGAGCGCATGAAATTGCCCTACAGTCAATGTTTTATATCATTGTCATTTTGCTTTTTATGCGCTTTTGCGCGTTTTATCGTCGTTGTTTAACGACAAGATGCTAGCAATAAGTGAGTATTGTCCTTGTTAATTCTTCTGCGATGCAATGTATTATATTATTATTATATTTGAAAAAAAACCAAGAATAATAATGATGAATCGAGAAAATTCCGATTCGAGCGTTAAAATGGAATTTATGTTGTTTGAACGAAATATACTAAAACGTGATGAATGTGCTGAGCGACGAGATATGCAATATAAATTTATACTCATTGGTAATGTCAATAAGCATCAGCTCAATAGCTGTACGACCCAAGCATATCGTTTATATACAAACAGCCTGTGTGTACATTCGAGTTCGTGTGCCATGTATACTTTTTTGATGAACTTTATTGTTCTCGTGCTTCCGATCTAGTATGTTGTCATTTACTCGCTCAGATGTGTTTCAGATTTATTTGAAAAAAATTTAAAAAAAGAATATTTATATATTAATGCGTTGACAGGGGGAAAAAGCTTTCGGGTCGCGAACTAAAAGCTTTTAACTTTCTAGACTCATAGACAAACTATTTTTTGTTTTCACTTTTAGCGTATCGATTGGATATTTGGGTGGGAAACTTTTGGTCTCGTCCGAAGCATCGCGAGAACCTTACTTGGTCACGCATCAGGTTTGATCACTCCTACATGTATAATGCATTGAACTTGCAACATGTGAGGTTATTATCCCAATATGGCTCTGAGAGCGTATAATTCAAAGTGTGTACGCGCGATGATGTTTCAATTTCGATGATTCGCTCGAGTGCTGCTCGTGCAATGGCTTAACTGATTGGCATTTTGTCATAGGAATGAGAGAGAGAGAGAAAGAGAGGGAGAGAGAGCTGATCCACGTGAGCCCATACATACCATTCAAAATGGAAAATGGCACAATAATATTCTCGCTGAAATGAGAAAACAAGCTCTCGGGGTCGCGCCTCGTTCGCGCAACGATGGATTTTAATTTGCATTTTAAATATCAAAAATGTATATCTCTCTTCTCTCTTTTTTGAATCCCGAACCACCGTTGATCTCTTCAAATGACTGAATATATTCAATGAATCACATGATGCGGCACAAACGATGCGTCTCCACATCTGATAAATGATGAATGCCTGACTATTGAAAAAAACCAGAATCATCCTTGTTATTTATCCATTGATTTTTCTGAAACCTGGATGTATTTCGAGCTTATGAAATTAAAGACTATAACGATCTCAGCGAGATATATATATATATAGCACTGCACGATCAATCCAATTGCCCACTTTTTTCTCTTGCTCGGCGCAGTTTCTAGATCAAATTTATTTTCAGTTCAAATGAGCAGCCGATTCGATCGGCAAGACTACTCTCTTTTTAAAAAGCTTCTACGTGGGTATTTAAGATTTAATTGGGTTTATACGCGTATATACTTGAAAGTACCCTTTTTGCTTCAACACGAATCAAATGTTAATCAATTTTGGCCTATCGATTCAAAAGCTGATAAATAATAAACCTTTTTCCGTCACACTTTGACCAAAAAAAAAAAAAAAAACAAATTCGTCGAGTACATTATATTAATTTTAACGAGCACAATAGATATACTTTTCAATTAAAAGTTAATTAACTTTTTCCACCTTTCTTGTTCACGCGCCAACGCTAGAAAATGTTTCAATTTCTTTTTCCCATTATAAATAATCTCTCTCGGACTCAGCTGTGTGCTGATGAAACATCAGCGCAACCATCACCTGCTTTTTTCTTTCTCTTTCTCTCTCTCTGTACATACTTTTTTGTTCCATCGCGTGAAATTTGACGTAAATTCACACGGATATAAAGCGTCGAGCTCCTGGACTTTGAACGATAAAACAAAAACGACGCTCGTACGTTACGCTCTGTACACCACTATCCCCCTCCTCTCTAGACGGAAATTGAAGTTTCGAGCCTGTAGTAGTATATATAAGTATCAACGGCAGCAAAAATATCAAACGTCTAAAGTCGTTTATTGAGTGCATTTACTTCTCTCTCTATTTTTTACTTTGTTTTACACGTCCATCGTGCTTGAATATCATCAATCTCGCAGCTGTCCATATGTGTATAATATATATAAGGCTGCTTCATTGTCGAATCAACAGGGCCAACAAATTTTTTTTAGGTGACACGGTTAACAAACAGTTTTTTTTTCACTCTACTCCTAGATTTCGAGTGGATTTTCCGACCTATATATAATACTTGTCCCTTTTCTGAAAATACAAGAGGCTGAAAAAGAATTATTCTTCGTTATAAATGCACTTTGAGATAAACGTAAAGGGTATATTTTTTTTTAAATTTTCTAAACTTTCGAAAAAAAGTTTTTGCAAAGTGTGCTCTTTGAAATCGCTAAAGAGGTTAATGTAAGGTAAATATAATATAAGGTCCCAAACATTTTTGTGAAATTCAAAGGTGCAGAATATAGCGTAAGATATAAAATGTCAATCATATTATCTGAAAATAATATTTTGACCCAGTCAATTTGTCAAATTTTTTTATCTCGGTCTTCCGTCGTAGAATAATGAAAAAATCTCTTGAGATAAAATTCTTATTCGCGACTGGTGGCACATAATACATTGCTTGCAGCTTAACGCATGTTACCTTCAGATTAAAATTTCAAAAAAATACGGATGAATTTGCACTTTTTGATCAAATTTCAATCTATTCCACGATTAAATGAAAAAACTGCGAGACTAAGCCAAATGCAAATTAACTCTTGTAAAACAAAATATTTCTCATCCCGTATAACGTCATTTTGTTCACGTCTATAATGATATCGTTAGTTTGACATGACCTTATGAAAAGTGATAAAAAAGACGTGAGAATTTCGTGACAAATGACTACGATGAAAATGTCAATTTGTAAATGTAATTTTCTAAAACTGATTCAATCACTTTGTTACCGAATGGATCTAATTATTAATTGTGTTTTGACAATAATGAATATCTCGAAGGCAATGTACTATCCAAAGTGAAATTTTTTTAGCTTAAAAGTGAAACAAAAGATGACACGTAAAGAAAGGATTCGAAATTTTCCATTTTAAACGTCCTGATAAAGTTCACGCACAGCTCGGAGTGATTTGATTTATCACAACGATGAATAATGTTATCTAAGGCGAACCATATTTCACTTTGTACATACGACACTCCAAACTGTATTTTTAAATTTATAACTTTGAAAATTATACATTTGGCCGCTGAATATGAAAAACAGATTCACGTAGAGGTAGTTACGTCACTGAGGAATGACAAAATCGATCAGTGCTCGTTATACATTTGCCTACTTGAGTAATTACGAGCTATAGCTAAATCAATGCAGTGTAATGCAGTGGGAGAAAATGTATAAATCCGCCCCTAGGAAAGACACAGATAACTTGTAAACGCAGTCAAACTAACTTTCTAAAGACTCGTTTTATTGAAATACTTCGAAGATAGATAAAGCGAAAGTAGTTCAACAGTTAACAAACATTGAATCCAAAGCTTGCCTGCGTTTTTTCCTGCTAGCTGCCGTTGAACGATTACATAAACGTCGAAAGGTAAACGATGGATAGAAAGATTAATTCGAGCAGCGAACGAGGACAAAAGTATCTGATCGTTGTTATTATACAATTCAAATGTGCCTCTCCGTTGGAAAGGATCTAAAGAGTACACATAAAAGAGCAGCAAAGACAAAGGGGTGAAATAACTCATCCTCGTCGATTATAACTAACCCATTAATACACAACTCTATATAGTTGTCGGTGCTAAGTATGACAAGAAGTGCAGGAAACATGCAATGTAAATTTGTGTAGTATTTTTGTAAAATGCTCGAGCTACAATGCCACAGCTATAAAAATAAAATACACTTGACTCTTGCCGCTGCAGCATCATCATCATCATCATCATCATCATCACTTTTCGTTCTTAGTAAACCTTTTCAATCCTTCTTCTTCCCTTCCATCTTTCTCGGTTGAGGAGTGGGTGGCTGGGAGGAAAAACAAAAAGCCTAGCTTGAAACTTTCCATCCCCGGCAGTTTGCAGCGCGGCACTTAAGCTCCGCAAGTCATCGCGAATAAAAATAAAACAAGCCCAGCGTTGTCGTTGTCGTCTTCGTCATCGTCGTCGTTGCCTTTGA